CATTAGCTGTGGCCCGCATGTGGCTGTGGTGATATGCGGCTTCAGGAGTAGGAATTTCTTCTCTATTGTTCGGCACCTGATTGCACTCTATAAGAGTTGGGAGAGGGATGCTTGTCTTTCTGTCGAGTGACTCCACAATGAACCCTTGAGCTCTTTTACCGGATACATCAACAACCCCTGTGCAGGTTCTTAAGACATATGGTGCTGGCATTCCCTGAACGTTAAATACATCAAATAATTCCGTCCTGGCTAATGAGACATTACTTTGGTCATCCAAAATGGCATAAATTCTCTTTCTTCACGACGATCACATGGGTATACATTTACCAGACATATCTTAGAACATGACTTTCCACTGAAACTGTCTTCACAGACTTTTGTGCACATTGGTTGTGCGGCTTGGTTAGATAAGTGCGCAAAGGAAGTTACCTGCTCCCCGCCATGTTCTTTATAGGGACCTGATGGCTTTGGTAGGTGTGGAGCACGACCTGGATGAAGTGCTGTTAAATGTCTCTCACTTACACACTCTGCACATTTTACCACTATTTCACAGTTCTTGACCTGATGAGAAGTTGAGGCACAACAGCGAAAACATATGCCCTTTTCTTTGAGTAATTTCTTCCTATCCTCAAGAAGCATGGCTCTGAAACTCTTGCATTTCCCAAGTGCGTGAGGTTTCTTGTGTATGGGGCATCTTTTTCCAGGATCTTCTGATGATGTCTCTGCATTGTTGGCAGTTTCGATGGACACACTGGTTTTATGCACTGTGACAGGGTATTTGCTGATGGGCTTTCCTACTGGTCTTTCCTTTATCAAAGGTGTAGTAGAGACTGTGGTATTGAAGCTGGGGTCGTTCCTAGCCTTGGCATCACGTTGTATGAACTGAGAAAAAATGGAGAAAGGTGGAAAAGCTACTCCATGTTCTTCTTTGTATCTGGAACCTACTGTATAGACATCCACTTTTCCTGCAGATGAAAAGGCAGCTTGTCTACAATAGGACCCACACCTCTTGCTGTGTCCAAGAATGTCAAGCCAGGTAGGTATCCATCCTCTTTGGCTGCTTCTAGTTCAAAGAGCAGGTCACCAAGCTCACAGAGCTTGTGGTTCTCTTTATTAGACATCCTTGGAAAGTTTTCTATTTTAGAAAACAGAGCACTCTCGATGGCTTCAGGTGAGCCGTAACTTTCCTCCAGCCTTGACCAAATCATTTTGAGGCTGACCAATGGGTGTCAGACATTGACTGATTTGAGTCGACGTGCTTGTTTGCTTGACTCTGGCCCCAACCATTTTATGAGTAAGTCAATTTGTTCATGAGCAGAAAGATCCAGACCCTCCACAGAGCTGTTGAACGTTGACTTCCACCCGAGGTAATTTTCCGGCTGATCATCAAATGTTGTCAATCCGCCTAGCACCAGCTCACTTTTGGCTAGACATTTGGCAAATTCTGACATTTATTTTCTTTGATCTGGGTAATAATGAGAATATGAGCGGTTTTGATTGAGAGCTTGTTCATTATCATGAAATGGTGTGACAGTCTGATGCTGGTCTCCATAAAAGCTGCCCTGATGTTGGTCCTGGTGGTGTAATTTAGAATGCTGTTGGTTGCTTTGCTGTAAGCCAAGATGCTCTCTGCTGAAAGGGTTTGCGTCAGGATGCTCATGATGAACCTGATACGGGCTGAACTTATGCTCTAGAGAACGTGTGTCAGACTGTAGCCCCATATGATGTGAGTCAGACTGTAGTCCCTGTTGACGTGAATCAGACTGCTGCTCTAGAAGACGTGAGTCAGACTGTAGTCCCTGTTGACGTGGGTCAGACTGTTGATCTAGACGACGTGAGTCAGACTCATGCTTGACTGTTGGGTTAACATTTATAGTTGTGTGTTGAGCTATATATTCAGTGACTTTCTGATGTGAACTTATCTGAGAAGTCAAGGACTCTATCTCTTCCACACTACTTCAGGAGCCTAACTCAGCAGCAGCAGCTTCCATGACCAGTGCTTTAGCGAGTGCTGACTCTGCTTCTTTCTCATGGTGAAGAGCATCCAATCTCGCTTCGATACGAGCCTTCTCAATTTTTATTTCCATTTCTCGTTGTGAAAAGGCTGCCCTAGCCTGAGCTGCATTAGCTTCCGCACGTGCCTTAGTAGCTGCCATGCTAACACTTGTTGCTGTTGGGCGGATTTACTACTGTGGGATACATGAGAACGTGTTTTAAGACTTTCCTTGTCCGATGTTGATGTCAACTCATCCTCCATGATGTTGAATTACAATAACTAGTTGTAAGCATGTTTCTGGGCTGTATGACCTTGGATATGCAGCAAGCATCATACTGACATAAATCCACATCTAGATCCAGTTCTTCTGTAATGTAGGTATCATTTCACTGTACTGTTCTCGTTTTCAACATGTGGATATTGAAACTTAACAGCCAGCTAAACTCTCCTCAGCATCATTCCTCCAAGTAACAGGCAGGTGTTGTATTTGGCAGGGATTTTAATGGTAAGAAGTGTGAAACTGAAACAAAATACATTTCTCCATAAGTACATATAAAACAATTATATGTTCTTAACATTTACAGAATAAATGTACTTTTTACAAGAACAGGTTATTGCAGGTAAATATGCAATGCAACATTACACAGCATTACGTAACACACTATAACACAGCAACAAGTTCTTACAAAAATAATAATTATCCTTACTACAAAAATATATTACCACAAATAATATCAAACACTTGTAGCTAAGATAATAATTAGTAACTTGACTTACTGATAATGCCACGTTTTGGGCTTAGAACGAAGGATGGATGGGGATTCTGCAGCGAGTGCTCCCATTACATGCTTGCATTAGTGTCCATGTGTAAAAGGACTTCCTGGAACTTAAGGAAGTGGTCATAGCCACAAAGGAAGTGCCATCTCTTTCAAAGTACATTTCAAAAATAAAAGCTGCCTTCTAACTGCTAATACACTCTTATTTGTGTTCCATGACAGGCACCAAGACCAATATTTTGTGACACATGGGCCAAGAAAAGGCTGTTCGAATCCTGACAGAACTGGTGGGGCCCAAATTGTATGGTTTACAGTTTGTGGAGCTCTCAAAGAGGTTTACACACAGACAATCCCTGTCTCAAAGAGCAATATCAGAAGGAAGGTTTCAGAATTGGACACTGGTGTTAACATTTTGATAGAGACTTTTGCGGCAAAAGTCATTGAGACCTGGGACATTTTCAACATCCAAGATTATGGAGCCGAGAAGACCATTAGGATGTGAAGCCAATGGCATTTAAGGGGGGGGGGGATGGTTGTTAAAGGAGCTATTCCATCATATGCCTTTACAACGCTTCAATTACATTTAGTTCCTAGGATGCAGCTTTGGTTCACGACAACTTTATGTGAACTGATGTCATATTCACTTGGACAAATAATAAAGTGGAACATACTGTATCTTGAATGTGAAAGGATCTATAGAAAATCCATCATCTGATTGGGAAGCTGTTAAGCCAACCAGGACTTTCTCGCATACACACAATTATATGTATACTCAATTGGTTTTCATAGGATAGATATGATGCTAATATCATCACAGCTCAAGTATTTCCTCTGCATGCCTGGAACTGCTTCAATTGTGCATAAACAGGCAATTAAAAAAAAATTGATTTTATTTTGATGGCTGAATCCTCGAAGCTCTGCTGCCAATTAGCCGTTAGTGCTTCAACTAATGAAGTCAGGGAGCATTTTTCTCAGTGAAGCAGGCCCGCTTCCAGAACAAAATGACTCAGGGTGCATCTGAGATTAGAGAGGGTGCAGGGGTAAATTGCTATTTTTATAAGTGGGGAGTGAACCTAACACCCTCTAGGGGGGTCCTCACCTCCTCTAGGGGGGTCCGGGGGCATGCTCCCCCGGGAAGATTTGTTTTTAAATATTTAAGTTAAAAGCATCAATCTGGTGCACTTTGAGAGCAAAATGAAGAGATCTATGGATACATCTCAACACCCATATGAAACAGAACTGTAAACAGATGTACTTTTTCTTTATGGATATTTTAGAAATCACTCCCCTTTTAAACTGTATTCTTGTTTTACTGTCATATAGTATTTCATTTTTAGTGAGTGAGTTACTCAGATGAGTACCAGGAGACAGCGGTTGGTACTCTGGTAGACAGCAGAAGATGGCATATTTTTTACATGAATATTCCAGCCTATCTCTGTTTTTAAACCATGAGCTGCAAAATTAGCGCCTTACCCCACTGTACAGGCGAGTTGGGTACTCGACAGTGGCCGCGGGTAACGTAATGTCCCCATGATCTGAACTGTTATTACCTGCAGTAGATGCAGTGTTACTGCTGGCAATAAGAGCTGGTTGTTTTAACCCTTTTCTGATGTCCATCATTGACTATATTCTTCTTCTTATTATTATTATTATTATTACTACAATTATTATTATTGGTATTATATATGTAATATTTTTCACTTTAGATATTTTTTTTTCACTTATTTTTTTTTTTTACTTTTCGTTTTTCAAATGAGGGTGCATAACGACTCAACTGAGGGTGCAATGCAACCTTATGCACCCCCCTAGAACCGGGCCTGTAGTGAAGTGATCAAGAGGAGGCATTTACAGCACTGCTGCTCCTCACAGTGAGGAGAGGAGATGTGCTGGGAAAAGCAAGACACGTTTTGGTAACTCGCCCCTATATTTCTGATTTGTCAAAATGACAGCCTTCAGATTTTATTTTTTCATTATTGATTGATTTTTGGTAACTGGAACATCTTATTTATCAGAAAATAAATGCTATAACTGCTGTCTTAGTAGCCCCCCTCTATAATGGGCATCAGCCAATCATAATGTAGGATTTGAGTGGCAGTAGGGTGGTAGTGAGGGTTGTGCCCCTTACTCTCCTTTCCCCAGGCACGCCCCTGAGAGAGATTCACCATTTCAGTCCGGAAGTTTTGTCATTTGTTTACCCCTTGACAAATTAAGCAATTTTGTTTATTAAGCACGGTTTTAACTGGCTGTCTGTCAAAAAATCTCAGTTGAAAGTTGACTTATTGGACACTCGTCGTCGCTACTTCAGGAGGACTTGTTTGCTGTCTAGCTATCCCGGCTAGCGGTGTGCTGATATCAAAGAAGAACAACATGAGCTCGGTGTTACAACTGTCGCTCAGATAGTAAACAAGCTGCTACCTTCAGTGAGAGGACGGGAGACGCACCTGTTTGTATGTGTCGCCGATAGTTAACATGTCGAGTCAGATCCAGCCGGCTGTGCCGATCCAACAGCAGCCTAATCTAAAATCTGCTCCTTTCCCACCTCACTGTTTTGTGAATACTCTAAACAACCCTCTTCAAATCAAAAGGAATGTAATTACAGTCGATTACAATGTTACAAGTCAGGTGCTCGGGATGGGGATAAATGGCAAGGTGTTGGAAATATTTCACAAAGAGAGTGGAGAAAAGTATGCACTGAAGGTAAAAATAGCCTACTGTTTTTTTAATCGTACTAATACATATTATAATCTGTTAGCCAAATCATGGTTATTAAATACACATAATAAGTCTATTGGCCTAATGTTAAATAATTGTTTATGGGGATTTTTTTCTCACTTTTGTACTATTACATAGTTACCATAGCAGAGCATATTATCTGTATTATCTACTAGACTGTAGCAATGTGTGATTGATTTATAATATTGGATAATGGAGAAAGATTGGTTTGAATTTATTCTGATAGATGTTTTTGTATAGCTCTCAGGACTATGACCATATTTACTGCGAAGTTGAATGTGTTTCGAAATATGTTTATGTTTTGTGCATGGATTTATAACCTTCTGAGTGTAAACATTGCTTAAAGGCAGCGTCTTAAAGCTGTTTCAACTTTTCATTTTTTAATATATTTTATAGTCTTGAATATAAAACAGCATTTTTAATTTGATTAATTTGATTTAGATGTACCCAACATTTCCATTTGTTACTGGGCTGTCTCTTGTTCCAGTTTAAATTCGATTAGTTTATTAATAAGAGACATAGGCCTACAGGCATATGACATTATATATATATATATATATATATATATATATATATATTATTATTATTATTAAATAGTATATGCAGAGCCTCAACGGTCAACATATCATTGTCTAATATTTGCCAAAAATATCAAACACAATGAAGCCCAAGAGGTTATTGGTTCTTATATGATCCCTTTGGGTAAACACTTGAAAGGCCTCTGAAAGCTTTCATGATTGATTTGTGTGAATCAAAAACTGGCCAAAGATGACTATCGTGCAATAAGATTGTATGTCCACCTTGACACATTTTCAGAGATATTGCAGCCAAGGGTGAGCCCAGGACGTGTCAAGTAGCGAGTTCAACATCAACAGACGCCTCCCTTTAAATATTTTAAAGAGTATCCTCTTTTTTTCACCTCAGGACAGTTTTTTTCTATTTGTAATCTTAGTTTCAGCTAGCAGGGAGAGATGATTACACGTTACCCAACTGCAGTCATCTGGATCAATGTGAAGCTTCTAAGGCATGTGTGATGCATATCTAACTATAGAGTACCTGTGATTTGTGCATGTTAAATGACAGGCATTATTTTCAGTCAGAGTTCAAGAGGTGAGGTCGATGATGGCATCACATGTGAGTTATAGATTTATTTTCTCGTGGCAACAGGTCCTTTTAGGAGTTTGTACAAAGTATTCGGTTTGGTGAGCTTCTAATTTCTGTCCAACAGATTGGAAATTATATATAACTCAGCAGCTAGGGCCTCTGGCCTACCATTTAGAGGTGCCTGTTTTTGAAAGGGGAGTGTTGACTTTTGCTATCCAAATGCTGCCAGCCAGAAAGAGAGAGGGGAACATGCCTGTGTCTAAAAGTAGCCACATGCACGAGGCCTGAGATGGCTGAGAGATTATGCCACTGGGACAGCAGGACGAGGTGTCATGCAGATAACACGCACTCAGCTTACATTAAGTGAAGGAGTTTTGAGATGGGTAAACAGAACGGAAAAACTAGCAAATGATTAATATCATCATAGACCTTTGTCTGTTTTATAAAAGTATGTTGTTATTATTTGCAGAGACACATTTGTGTAGTCTTCAGTTACTAACTTTTTGATGAGAAGCATACAGTATGTCCCATCTCACATTTCTTTGTTACTGTGCCTTCGTATTTGCATTCTTCAGATTTGATTTCTTGCTAGAGAGCTAGGTTTTTAAAAAAAGACTTTTTCTAAATGTAGTGGCATTTGACTTAAAGTAGACAGATGAGGGTGCCAGTGTCCACAGCATAATATGTAGTTAATTTTCCAGTAAATATTACATGCAATAGGATTTTTTAAATTATCATTTTCCACAGGTGCACCCTGTTGAAAAAGTCTTGTGAAAGCAGTATATGTCGGAAATCAGAAAATATTTTATCTATGATATGCAGTGTGAAAGACAAACTAATCCCGCCAAAAGTAAATCATATTTTGAGGGCCTTTCCCCAAGTCTGAGAAAGAAGACTGTAAATCTGATATCTTCCAAATGTTTGTAGTGAAATATAACAGAAGTTGGCACATGGAAATCCACACACCTATGATAATATATTTATAAAAACATTATTCAGACTGTTCTACATCCAAAATCACAACCTTGCTCACATCCGTGGAAACATCTCTGTATGTATTATAGATAGCTCTAGTCAATGTATAAGTTTAACCTATTATAAAAAGTTGCCTATTAAATGTAACATGTAATATGAATCTTATAAATGAAAGAAATGTGTATCATAAATTATCTTCTAACAATGGTTTGCTAAGAACCTTGTGTGCTCCCTAACCCACAACAACAGAGTTTAAAGGAAAACACGAGGCTGAAAGAGTTATAGCTTTTTATTATTTTCATAGAAAAATCTGCAGATACATTTCTCCATATATATCAATGTCTCATTGATGAGTGCAACGTCCTTCAAACGCCTTTTTTTGCCAACCTTTTGTATTTACCATCATTTAAAAATAGAAAAGCTTCAACAATAAGAAGTTGATTATTAAGTGGTGGCTGATTAATGATCTGTCAATATGTAAAATGGTAATCAACAAAGCAGCTCTATTTGCAACTAAGGCCAAGCCTTCCTGTGGTCAAATGTACCTTGACGGTTAAAGTGCCTGAGCCCCATAATTGTTTTAAAACATCTACAAGGAATGTTGTTTAGCGTTGCCTAAAAACATAACACAAATATGGACCAGTTTGAACTAGAACTGGGTCACATGACTACACTTAAAACTAACATATGTTTGTTCATTCCTCTGCTCTGTGTGTTTCAGATGCTGCAGGATTGTCCTGAGGCCAGACGGGAAGTGGAGCTCCACTGGAGGGTGTCAACTTGTTGCCACATTGTACCCATCATAGATGTTTACGAGAATCTCTACCATGGCAGGAAGTGCCTCCTCATCGTGATGGAATGGTGCGTTCTTCTGCACACACATACATACATACATACACATGCACGCATGCACGCACGCACACACACACACACACACACACACACACACACACACACACACACACACACACACACACACACACACACACACACACACACACACACACACACACACACACACACACACACACACACACACACACACACACACACACACACACAAACACACTCACACACACACTCATGCATATGATTTAGTAAGAGTGGAAAAGCTTCACACACAGAGAAACATACAATTAAAGCCAGAAATGAATGTGTGGTCTTTATCAAATGATTAACCATGTTGACAAAAGTAGATTTCCTTTCTTGGACGTCTTTGGGCTCCTGGCAGTTGGCTTGTATTATTTCACTGAGGAGGAGCCAGCTTGGTTCATTTACACCCACTGAGGTGAGTTTCCAGAAGACTTTAGGGAACAAAGTAATAAAAAGCAGACAGAGGCTGCTTTGTCTAGAATACAATAAGGCAGGTGTTAGTCTAATCTACCTCTAATGTTATAATATAATTTTAAAAGTGTTTTCAAAGCTGGATGGGATAAGTTAAATCCTCACCATGAACAACAAAAGTGACTGATGATGCACAGTTAAGGGATCACAAGTGTGTAATGTTTACAGCTGCTTCTGATTTTAGTCAAGAGCTTTTTACTGACATTTCTCTGACAGCTTGCCCTCATTTATAATGTTGACAGTACGTTTTGAACAGAATACATAAATGCATAGAAATAATTATAATAGAAAACAAATAACAAAAAAACAACAGTTTTGGGTCAACACATTCAAGTTATATTCAAGAGGTGAATAGTTTGGTTCGTGGTACAACTTTGAATTTATGTTGTTAACGTGACATTTTAACCTCTCGAAACCGAAAGCACACACTCCCAACATAAAGCATGTTCAGACTGAAGGATTTATAAAGTCCTCTTAGATTGATAACCACAAAAGCATACACATTTTCAATTTGCTTAACAATGATTGATGCTCCTCTGCAGGTTGCAGGTCACCATCTTGGGTGAGTAGTAAAATACATACCATGCCCTAAGGATTTTAGGCTCATACTGTTCTTCTATCCATTTTGTTGTTTTTGTTTTTAGTATGGATGGAGGTGAATTGTTTAGTCATATCCAGGACAGAGGGAATCATGCATTTACAGAAAGAGGTAAAGGGATTATTATATTTCAATCAAAGTAAAGTTACAATCTTTAAGATTTAAATCCTGGTTGATTTGTTTTTTACTTGTGATTACTGTTGGTAAGCACAAGTATACATCTGAATGTATGATTTAATCGGCAGCTCTCTGTTTGACCTCTATTGTGTCTATTTTTTTTTCTCAACACTTTCTTTTTACTCAGAGGCCTCTGACATCATGAAGAGTATAGGAGAAGCCATACATTTCCTGCATTTCATCAACATTGCACACAGAGACATCAAGGTAATTTCTCCCTGTATATTTGAGACACAACTTCCAACAGTGGATTGCTTTTAGGGAACATTTAGTAGTTACAGTGGTTCGTTTTAATTTCATGTTTATTCATTTGTTTCCCTGTGGTTGATAACAAGTGATGTGAAGTATATTATCCAGCAGTTGATTGCTGTTGCTGTCTCTTTCAGCCAGAGAACCTGCTGTACACCTCCAAAAGGCCAGACGCCTTCCTCAAGCTGACAGATTTTGGGTTTGCCAAAGAAATCACCACCTTAAACTCTCTGGCAACACCATGTTTTACACCCTACTATGTTGGTGAGACACCACATTGGACGTTGGGAAGATACACTAGACATTTGTAGCATGCGGAGAAAACTGAAAGTTATAGCTGGGAATTTCTTTTTTTTAATGATCAATGTTCATTGAATGATGCGAGTTCCTAAGAAACTAGACCTCCTGATGTCAGTGATAGCCCTAAATCAACACGAAGAACTGTGTTGGCAAAATCATCACATTTTTGTGGAACAGCTTGACATGTCCTGGACATACTTCTTAAACTACAATGTAAACATATTTCTTGTTTCATGTCAATTCTTTACTTAATAACCAGACTTCGAATAATAACATTTTTGCCCCATTTAAAAAGAAACAAGGTACCAGTTATTATTTTTAAATCCAGAAGTTTGGAAAAGATTATACACACTTGAATATAATCTGCATTTACATTTGTTTGGGTAAACATAACAGCATTGTGCATTTTTTCAAATTTCAAGTAGTTTCCTTGAGGGGATTTAGCGGTTTGAATAGTGTAGAATCTAGCTTTGATGGAAAATCCTTTATACACCACTTTAAGGACCGGTTATTTTTGCAGTCATCTGTTTTTTATTAACAGATTTAATGTTAACAGAAGTGAATCCCTCAATTTGAATAATTTCTCTTCACACTGTGGCAGCTCCAGAGGTTCTGGGTCCAGAGAAATATGACAGATCCTGTGACATGTGGTCTCTGGGTGTCATTATGTATATTCTGTAAGTCTATCTGTGTGATGTGTCTTTAGCGGTTTTACTTTCTTGCAATGACATATTGTTCTCTTTGAAGCTTGTCTAAGTTCTTGTTTTTTTTGTATTATATAACCCATGTTCTTGATAACATACCGTATAATTTATATAGAGTTAAATCTAAACCTGCTTTAGGGAAAATGCCCTGACATGACTTCTGTTATGATTTTGTTCTATATGAACCAAATTGTTATTGAATCTATCATCATGCTTTTTTTCTGTTTTACACACAGACTTTGTGGTTACCCTCCCTTCTTCTCACATCACGGTCTGGCAATATCCCCAGGAATGAAAAGACGGATCCGTACTGGAAAATACGATTTCCCCAAACCAGAATGGAGCGATGTGTCTGATGAAGGTGAGGGCTTGTTGGAAATTGAGAAGGTGGTGTTATCTGACTACACATTTCTATTTTCTATTTTCTAAATTACTCCTTCCCTCATCGACTTGATATAAGTGTTTCTCCTGGGAGGACATACCAGATTGATTTCCTCAAAATTGTTCTGGATTTCTATGAACTGTTTGCTACAGAGCCATTGTCTTTTTATATAACTTTCATGTAAATGTCATTATAATTAAATATAAGACATTTGGAACAACAGTCCCACATTATTGCAGTTATTGTATGATTGCCACAAATATTATACAATTTGATGATGATTTTATGTTTCAGCCAAACAGCTAATTTGCCACTTACTGAAAACTGAGCCAACCCAGAGAATGAACATCACCGAGTTCATAAATCATCCCTGGATTAATGTAAGCAGCTCACTAAGGGCTTGAAACTTTTTGAGCAACAACTGCTTTTTAGAGATGTTTGTAACCTTTGGTGGACACTAATCCATATTCTCTCACTAATACAGCAGTCAGTGGAGGTCCCACTAACGCCTCTCCACACCAGCCGCGTGCTGCATGAGGAGCAAGATGTCTGGGAGAAGGTTAAGGTAAGTGTTTGTGTAATTCATGTGAGAAGTTGATGCTTCTTTAGATAAACAGAAAATGCTGTTGATTCTTTGTTTGTTTTTGAAAATCACGAGGTGGTGAAGCTCATTTTAAAATATGTCATGCTAGAAAAACATATATCTTTACACATACGTGATTGTTTACCCTGCACAGAGAAATCCATACAATATTAACTTCTAACTGTATGTGCGTATTGTGCATACTGTTTCATGTTGATTGTGTTTGATAAAGTTATCATTTTATTGTTATTATTAGGAGGAAATGACAAATGCCCTGCAAACGATGAGAGTGGACTATGATCAAATTAAAATCAAAACCATAGAAGACTCGACTAATCCTCTACTCTTGAAAAGAAGAAAGAAAAGTAAAAAACCACCCACACAACCTCCAGGCTAGTGACACACACACACACACACACACACACACACACACACACACACACACACACACACACACACACACACACACACACACACACACACACACACACACACACACACACACACACACACACACACACACACACACACACACACACACACACACACACACACACACACACACACACACACACACACACACACACACACACACACACACACACACACACACACACACTCATGCATATGATTTAGTAAGAGTGGAAAAGCTTTGAATGAGAGCTTTAGGAGTTCATTGCCAAGTGGCTGTAATAACTTCACAGTATTGTTCAAGCAGATTAAATTCTCTCCTCAGTGATTTGATCTTGAAACTATAAGGCCTCTTGGCCCTTTGTCGAATGTGCTAAAGAACTTTTGAACTCTTTCTACAGTATACACTGAAAGTATTGTTTGTGTACACTGTACACTAAGGGCTATAAATTACACCTCTCCTTAGAGGAAACACAACTCTACTGTGTGTCTAACGTGTTGTATATTAGGACAGTTTTTATATTTTTGATGTACATATTTTAGTGAGCTTTGTTTGGCATAACTCTTTTGGTTTATTTTCTGTTTCTCAAGAATTTCTGTCTTGAGGGTCTTGTTTGAGATAGTTTGGCTGTCCTTCATATTTGTCAATTGAATGGTTGTTACAAGAAACCACAACTTTTGTTTTGTATACTGATGGGATGTTGGAAGCGTTTCTCCTTTCCACGATAAAGCACAGTTTTTGCCAGATTGTGGTTGTGCGGTATCTTAAACGTATACCATATGTACAAATAATCAGTCCTGCTATCACCGTGATGATTGCTTTTGATTGACAATACTGTGATGCCAACGGATTATTTTGTATCATTTTCTCCAAAGCAGTAATGTAAAAACTGTTGCATGAGGTTTGTTGTGTGAGGCGCAGGAAAAATGGAGGAAACTTTAGAGTTTGATGAGATTTACTGTGTAAAATGTTGCTCATCAATATTATAATGTCTGTGTTTTACTCTAGATTAAATCTCTTGAAGTTCTCTATGGTTTTGTGTGTTGTTTGATTGGTAACCTTTTCTACGTTAGCATGTCAAAAACTGAATTGATCTCGCTAGCATATTAACACAACTCACAATTGCATTCAATTAGTGTTCCATTTAAAGTGAAGCAGAATGAAAAACAAACGGTTAGAAATGTCTATTGAGACATTTGACAATTAGTTGGCAATCTAATCGTGACATTTTGTTCCAATGAACACAAAGCAAATGTTATGGCAGTCTATCCAATAGCGTGTCAAGAATTATGTAGAGCCAGGATGTTATTGCTCAAAATTTTGTAATCTATCTAAGAAAATGAAATTGAAAATGAATGGCAAATGGACCAAATGATGTTGAGATCCAATATTGTCCTTAATATTGGTTTCATGTACATACGATACTTAAAACTCAACCATTTAAAGAATTCACAAGCAGAACATAGACACATATGTTTTAAGTAGCATGTTTTAAAACATTACATTACAGTAAAATCAATCATGACAAGAAAATAGCCAAATGTTTTACCTTATGGTAAAGCGCACAACAGCAGAACACCTCAGAGATGATTGTTTAGTAGTGCATGCTGTCATATTATTGTGGCTATGTTGGATTTTCTGGCTGAAGTTGGATAAATTCATGAATGACGCCCAGACAGAGTGTATTGCATCAAACATCTTGCTTTAATTACAAGACAATATTTATTTAATCGTTTTTTGCATCCTGTTTTAATTCAGACTGTCGTTGTGGCACATTCGGAGAATAACACACACAGCAAACGAAGCAGTCTTGCCTGATACAAATTATCAATGTATTTACAATGTGGATTACAGGGGGATGAATGAGAAATCCAACATCAGATTTCAAAGGAACATTGTTTTTCCTGGAAACTTTTTGTTTCCCCTACCAAATACTGCTAATTTTGATATATTTGTGAGGAAGAACTTTCATTTATAATTAATCCTAGCACAGTTCAGAACACATGCAACACTTCTTTAATAGAGGTTCATGTAATAGATTGGGAGGATTTAAATATTTTTATGTTCTCATTAAAAGGTGGTTGTCGGCCAAATAATGTGATTTGACTAAAAACCTGCTAAGTATTTTGTATAAAGGGGTCCCATGTGTATCCTTAGGTCCCCTATCCTCTCATGAAATGTTTTGTGATTGAAGTCTTTACATGCTGAACAACTTTTATTCAAACAAACCCTTCATCTTGAACTTCTTCAGAAAAGCCTGGAAGGCACATTGGGTAAGAGAAACGTAATCCTTGCATCTCTGCCTCCAATTTTCCTGCTCTGATGGAAGGGGTGAATGGCGAGGCCCATTCATTCATGACAATCTGGTAATGGGAAACCTGCCTGCAGGCGCAAGCACAAACACATGTTAACTTTCTCCAGAGTTTGAACACTGTAATTGATGAAATGGGTGAGTACCTGAAACAGTCAGAAGAAAGACACCGAAAAATGAAAAACATGTTTAAGGAGAATTATTGTGGACAAATAACAGGGTTTGTCAAACTTGTTTTCATGTTGAAACATACAGTGAATTATTGACAAAGGCCTTCTACAATGTAAGAATTGGATTATAAACTTTAACAAAGCTCTATTGTTTCATTTAAATTGAAACACACCATTAATTACAGCGTCTAGACCCTTGTTTCTAAAAAAATCTATAGTATAACCCCCTACTCTCTCCATAACCTTTATACGAGTACACTTCACAGCAAGCCAGCTTTCAAGTGGTAGTGCTAATGATAAGGCATGACACACTAAAGGTAAACAAAGCTGTAAAAAAGCAGATGTTTGCCCCACTTCCCAGATGGGATTAATATTGACATGGCTGGAGGTGATATATGATGGCCTCTAATGAGAGTGTGTGACTGGGGCTGCAGCTACATAGAAAGGGGAGATAGTTAGTCTTTACTAACAACATATTTCACTCAGTCTGAGGAAAACACAGACGCGCAAGCAAGAAAGGAGACATCCTCTCTGATCAACCAAGTGGTAAGTATACTGAACTTACTTACATTTAAAGATTAGAGCCAAGAGAAGTGGATCTTAAGGCGAGACACTCCAGGTGAATAGGGTACTTTTTTTTAACTTAAAGGTATCAGCTAGACATTTCTCCAGTTAATTACTTACAATAAGGCAATTGTCTTTTGTATTACAAGTTTCTGAAATAGCATGTTTAAATATGCAAATTATCCATTATCTCATTAAATATGCACATATTTTAACACATTTCAGGAATCGAAATCTGAACTTTGGATAAAGCCAGATTCAAAATTCTTGTTTCATTTTGTAGTCATATTAGTATCTAAGGCTTTTACAGAAGGGATATTGGATATCTCTTTTTATCACTCCACAAATCAGAAAATACTGTCAACAGCCCTAAAATATCAATTTTCGCGATGTTTTTAGGTATACAATGTTGTATAATTCAGGCTATGAATTATATATGAACAAACCCTTCTGTAAAAGCCTTCATAATATTGATAGGAGTATAACTGGAAGGTTTGGTGTCTCTACGTGCTACTGAAGTTGAAATTTCGAACTCAGAGTAGGAGAAACAAATCATTTTGAGAAAACGACCTTTAAAGATTGCAGTGAGGCGCTAGCTAAACCCTCCTGTTCTTTGGATGATAGCTTGCGCATCGACGCACTCCGTGAAGGTATTTCTTGTTCGGGGTCATTTATTTGTTGTATAACCTTGCTTCGTGCAAGTGACAATTGTTGTCGTCTTCTCTGTGAACGTTTTTTTCGCCGTTCTTTTGCCATTTTGAGATTTCAATTTCTAGCGGAAAGCTAACCAGGAAGTGTTTTAGCACACCACGTGACGCATCTGAACGAATCACGTTGTCAGAAATTGACACCAGCCAATGAGATTTCGTTTCTTGGTTTAAGACCCCTTTGTGCTTTCACGATTGGTTGTTGATACAAAGGAAATGACCATATTTGGATCCGATGAGATTGTGCAGGAGAGACACAGCTTTCCAGCGATACCTCTGTTGACATGGTGCACACAGCGGTCGCGGTACTTTATGTTACGTTAGAATGCTAACTTTTGGTGAATTTAGGAGAAATCTACAGACGCAAATAGACAAACTATAGTAAAATAAACACTTAAATGTGTATTTTGTACGTTTTCCTTCCAAAAGCCTGAAAGAAAACATGTTATGGAATCAAAATAGCACAAAATCTCAAAATTGACCAGTACTTGAAAAACGATGTTTTTGCCTGCCGTGTCTCGGATGGTTGAACAAGCATAATTCAGTAATAGCTACAAAACATCTCCTATTATCAGTGTTTTTGGGATTAAGAAATATCCTAAAGTTGACTTTATATCAATTTTACATATTTTTTATTCTTGGTTTTCTTACAGTGATCATGCAGACATTGGTGCTTCTCCTTATTCTAGGAATAGTGGATCAAAGCATCAGCCAGAATTACAGCCAGTTCAAGTGGCTGTCCTATCTGCGAGGGCGCCGGAGGCATGCCGCCTGGCAGGCCGTGGATGTCGACTGCCCACTGGAATGTGACTGCCCCTCAACCTTCCCCACTGCTATGTTCTGTCAAAACCGCAACCTCCAGCATGTTCCATACGTTCCCTCACACATTAAGTATGTCTACCTGCACCGGAACAAGATCACAGGCATCAAAGACGGGGTTTTTGACAATGCTACCAGCTTGATCTGGGTCGTGCTGTTTCAAAACCAGCTAGACTCAGACAAGATCGGCAAGAACGTATTCAGCAAGCTCAAGCACCTGGACCGGCTCCTCTTGGATCACAATGAGCTCACACGTGTGCCTCCAAACTTGCCAAACTCCATCACAGACCTGCGACTTGGTCACAACAAGATCTCAAAGATCCCCTCCAACTCATTTGAGGGGATGGCTAACCTCGCCACCCTTGAGCTCCAAGCAAATGTCATAGAGGATGTTGGAGGTATGTTGAAGGGACTAAAGGTTCTGACATTGCTGGATATGAAGAAAAACAAGCTGAGTAAAATCCCAGACCACCTCCCAGAGCGGCTGCAGCAGCTCTACCTGGATTTTAATAAAATACAGAGTGTGCCGGCAGGCTTTCTCACCATGAATCCCAGACTGCAGTTTGTCCGCTTGGCTCATAACAAGCTGACTGATAAAGGACTTCCATCCAATGTCTTCAATGTCAGCACGCTGGTTGAGCTTGACCTTTCTTTCAATAAACTAGAGAAGATCCCTGTTGTTAGTAGAAACCTGGAGAACCTTTATCTACAAGCCAACGAGATTAAAGGTATGGACACACTAACTGAGACATATTAAATACAAGTAAATAAGTTATCCTAAACATAGTCCCATTGGAAGAAAAAAAAAACTGTAATGCAATTTGTACAACATGTTAGTAATAACTACACATTCCTTTTTAATGATTTTTACGATGAAACTAGTCTTAACTTTCTTAAAAGTACATTTGAATGATTATTAAAAGTGCTGCGCTGATGTACGTAATGTATACAGTTTTCCAGACCATTACACCTCATTACAAATGTTGTACACGAGAAACTACTTAACTCGTTGTTTAATTGGGTTGGTTGGCAGAGCAGGATACACACTCTGTCACTCACTCAGTTCTGAGCCGAGCACTTTACAATACACTCGCTTCACAAATCATTAAAAGCTTGAATGTAGGAGGACAGTTTGAAAGCGTGATTTATAGAAAGTTTAGTGAGCCCAATGACTCAATGCACTCTTGTTGCTCTTACTGATTTAAAGTGAAGTTTAGTCATGCACCTGTTCACCCATATTGTTTATAGTAGTCTTGTTTCCACTGTAACATTTATCTGTAATATGGCAGTTCAACCTCCTAAAGCTTTATGTATTTTCTGTCGCCAAGCCGAAACATGATGTAACATCTTACATCACTTCTGGGCTGGGGACTGAGACTGCAACAAATCAGAACATTTTCAACCATTAGATGACAGAAACACACTTTTTAATGCTGCCTTCTCATCGAGTTTTTCCTTAAACACATTTTTCATTGCAAACCCACTCACATATGGAGCAAAAACTCCCAATAATTAAAAAAATAGTCATCACTGAGTTTAATCAAACAAGAGTATAGCTTTAATATGGATTGTGAGAAATACAGTATCTCAGCCCTTCTTATAAAGACATACTTAAAATCCCATGTAGGAAATACAGCACAGCAGAACTCTGTTTAGTTTGGCGGTGTTTTGATGTGAACATCCTGGTTCCTGCCTGGAATTCTCACATGACAGCCAGAACATGCAGCCTTCCTTCATATTTCTCTCATGTGTCTTTCAGAGTTCTCCCTGAGCAGTTTCTGCAATACCATCAACATGACAAACTTCTCCAGTCTGAGAATGCTGCGATTGGATGCCAATGAGATCAGTGCCAAAGACATTCCTGCCGAGGCGGCCTACTGTTTGCGGCACGTTGGCTTTATTGAGGTTTAGCTCTTCCTGCGCTCTCTCTGATATCTCTTAACTCATCCGATGTCTTACTTCATCTGTTATCCCCCTCCAATCTCTCTTCATCTGTCACTTTATTCAGCGTCAAAACGTATTTAAGACAATGCAGTGTTATAAAAGCTGTTTTCACAATCATAAACCCTTAACACAATTCCAGTATTAGTCAACGGGAAATACCAGAGCTGTATAATCACCTATCCAGATGACAGGCATATGTATCACAAATACAACATATCCAAAGGCCAGATGACTGATATTCCTCTCCTCACACTGTTATATTATCAGATCCGGTATTCTGGCAAAAATAATAAGATCATCATAATAACCATGGAGGTTCTGCTTGTTGTCTGGAAACATATCACCAGTATAAAGCATCCTGTCATCAGCTAGTGATTCAGTTTTGACCTTTGCCTCCACCATGTGGCACAAGGTGATAAAACTGTAGATTAGGCAGCCAAGATTGTCATAATTAATAACGTTATTTGGCAAGGTCACATTTACTAATTAAAATGACAATGCCTTTAGTAAACAGTTTGAGTCTGTTTTCTACTGTTCGTCTATTTCGATATTTTCATTATCAACATTACAATTTGTGTAACGTGTTTATGTCTACAGGTTAAACATGTGTATTACTCCTACAATGAGCCTCTGAATTATCAAAAGACAATTATGTATGTTTCTATAATAGCTGCATCCTATGCTGTTGGGTTATTTAAGCTGTTTTGGTTACCTAAACACTCGCTTTTAAAAATATCTTTTGGGTGGTAACTTCCGAGCCAACTCTAGCTAATGTCGGGATTTACAACATGAGCATTTGATGCAATTCAGTTTGTATCCACTTAGCAAGAAAGTTATGAATCATATAATTTGCGTGTAATTTAATTGTATCTTGTTATCGACCACTTTATACTTATTATTAAATCTTAGGAAAACAAATATGTCTTCAGAGTTTTTTGTGCCCTTAACTGTGATGTATTTGTAGCTGTAAAAAGTTATGTTTCCGCTCATTTGAAACGTAAAAGAAGCAAAGAGATTGGGGGAGAGAAAAAGGGCGGCAGCTCTTTTGACAACTTTAACTGGTCCAAGGCAGTTCATGTATTGTTGAAGAAAACTTTCCTTTTCATCTTGCACAGCTGCCTTTAATACTCTTCAGAAAGGCACTAAATTGAATTATAGAAATATTTTCCTTGTTTTGTCATGGGGAAAAGTCTCGTGATGAAGAATGGATTACTGCTGGATTAAGTTGGACACACTGATAAGCGGTAGCCTGTGAAATGAAGTGCGTTATGGATGATGATATATTGCTGGCTGTAGAGGGTTTTGCAGCGGCTGTGGGGTAGAACTGTGTTGTTTTTTCCTTCCTACACAGATTCTTCCAAAACAAAAAATACCGACCAGTACACATGGGAATCTTTTACTGGTGTGGTCCTCTCCGAGACGAATACATTTCATTGCGAACTCAGACGTTATGCAATTCATGATTATAAAACAGGCAGGACCATCTTTGAGTAAACATGAGTGAAAGCCATGACTACAGGAGGGAATGTACATGCACTGCCCTCTCTCCCTCTCTCTCTCCATGTGTTTCTTTCTATCTGAAATGTCTTTATTGGCATGACCATATTGCACAACCCAGTCTCACGGCATTTCGTGTTCACCAACACGATTTTTAATCTATTGATTCGTGTTCACCAACACGATTTGCCCCTTTTTTGCGTGTTGCACAGCACGATTTTAAAAGCAATGTATTTCTACTGCCTGCAGCACGTCTTTTTCTCCGGTCGGGTCGAGGAAGACCGGAAGCTGTGTGGTTCATAAAAACATGTTCTTACTCAATATCAAGACACAGTTATTGCTTTTATTTGAAATCGTATAATTTCGGACTTTTGTTGCCGTCTGTGAGGAAAATAAATGGGGCTCAGAGCCTCAGAATACGGAAATCTGTATTTTTAAATATTTTTTTCCTTCTAATTCGATATTCTTTTCAAAATAACATTATTATTATTTTTATTTTGAAATTCAGTTCCTGACGGACGCCAAAAAAAAACGAGATTATGGAATTAAACCAATAAATAAAAGCAAGGATAATTGTGTGTTATTGGTGAGTAAATAACAGTGTGTTATTTTGAAAAGAATAACAAATTAGAAGGAAAAAAAGATTTAAAAAATACAGATTTCAGTATCCTGAGGCTCTGAGCCCCATTTATTTTCCTCACAGACAGCAACAAAAGTCCAAAATTATACGATTTCAAATAAAAGCAATAACTGTGGCTTGATATTGAGTAAGAACATGTTTTTATGAACCACACAGCTTCCGGTCTTCCTCGACCCGACCAGAGAAAAAGACGTGCTGCAGGCAGTAGAAATACATTGCTTTTAAAATCGTGCTATGCAACACGAAAAAAAGGGGCAAATCGTGTTGGTGAACACGAATCAATAGATTAAAAATCGTGTTGGTGAACACGAAATGCCGTGAGACTGGGTTGTATTGCAACACAGTTGAACATTGTACAAAATGTTATAGCAGTGTTTTTCTTTCGGTCCATCTCACAATCTTTCTCTGTATTAACCATGTGCCACTACCATGCAGTATTGATAAAATGTCATGCATGCATATGAGTAATGGATAGTAGCACATTATTCCCACCAACTCCTGCTGTCACGCCCTGTGCAGTGAAGACATTTCCTGTGTAGCTGCAGCAGCGACTGGTGTGTATCTATTGATATTGTATCCCAACCTCTCTGCCAGTAACAACAGCTCTATGTCTGTGTTTGATCATTAACAGAATATTCTCCAGAGGACTTGTTGAAACCATACTGTTTTGTTATCTTTGGCCACAAGTTTTATAAGTTGGAAGGACTGTGTGTTGAACAACAATGTAGGCTGATAATGAGGCGAACTACACATAGCACTGGCAAGACCCTTTGACTTTGATAAAAACATGTTTGACTCCCCATAAAGCGAGTCAAACTCAGTATCGGCCAATATCACACTTAACAATTGATTTCCTGGTGCTCCTATATGAATGCACTTTTAGCTACAACAAGTGAGAGCATTATATTTTGTATTTTGTATTGATGGAACCTTTATTATCAATATTGTGATTGTATTGTCAAACTAATAAATAATTTGTATATATTTGGAAAACAACAATACAAACAGTTGGTTAAGTTGTAGCAAATGATACAATACACAATATTCAACATATAACTAGTGTAAAAATAAAACTTTTTTAGTGAAAAGATATCTGCAAATACTTAACACATAAACAAATAAGTGAGCATGATACATTTACTGATATTAAAAAGTGTTCAGACGGATGAAATGTGCAGCTTCACGAGTGCTCCTTCTGCAGCTGCAGCGATGTGTTCTTTGCTGCCTGTGGAAAGAGTAAAATAAGAATGAAAAAGATGGATGTGCACTGCAGTAATATTTAAAACTGTGGCTGACACAGGCATTTGTGTAAGACGTTAATCATGATCCAGCTCCCGCCGTTTAACTCTCAGAAACCCTTTGAGGTAGGTGATACTCACATTATTGTTGCTCCATCTCTATGTCCTGATGGTCTCTGCTTCAATCCAGATGACAAAGGAATGCATAAGGATTAGTGCAAAAAAAAGACAGATGAGTTTTAATTCCAATGTTAATTGTGTTCTTACCTTGAATTTGTATACGATCTTGATCTGTGAGGGTTGTGAGTTCTCTGTTTCGGGAAAGAAAATACTTTATTAAATAATTCCAATTTCAAGGACAAATGATGAGTTACTTTAGAGCCATTCACAGAGTAACATTTGTTTTATATTGAAATAGGTTAACCATTTGCAAACAATACTCCTTAGTTCAGTGTGATGCAAGTGATTGATAGAGTAATGGGTCAAAATGATTAAGAGAATATAAAACAATATTATACATAAAATGACAGGGCAGTGAAAGGTTGTTCTGTGTGATGTAAAACCATTTCCATGGGTTATTCAATATTATTTTACCACCGTGGGTGGAAACGTGTTATTATTGAAATCCACTGCTGTAATTCAAAGCTGCTACACAGGATCGCATCTCCTTAACGGTGTAAACTAACATTGTTTTATCACCAGCTTTCAAATGTACAGTAGCTGAGTGTTTCACAGTCAAAATAAGTTTTGAGCATCACTTCAAATTCTTGGCAAGGAGATGTTTGCTTAACCCCCTACACAGGGCCGTCCTTGGCCAACATGAGGCCCCACGCAAAGTTCTATGATGAGGCCCTCTGTTCCGCGAGCGTTGACAGGGACGGGGTGCTAGTGAAGCCTCGCAGCGGCGAAACCGTGCCGCGCCACACTAATTGCGCCGCATAGGCAAGGCAAGGCAAGTTTATTTATATAGCACTTTTCAACACAAGGCAATTCAAAGTGCTTTACAAAAAATGAAAGACATTAAGAAAATGGCATTTAAAATCAGTCATTAAAAAGAAAAGCTAATAAAATAAACATTAAAAGAAAAAATACATGGATAAACATTAAAAGAAAAATACATGGATAAAAGTTACAGTGCAGTCTAAGATATGAATAGTTCAATTAAAAGCAGCGACAAAAAGAAAAGTCTTCAGCCTGGATTTAAAAGTAGTCAGAGTTGCAGCGGACCTGCAGGTTTCTGGGAGTTTGTTCCAGATATTTGGAGCATAATAACTGAACGCTGCTTTACCATGTCTGACTCTGGGGACAGAAAGCTGACCAGTCCCTGAAGACCTGAGAGATCTGGATGGTTCATAATTTAGCAGGATATCAGAAATGTATTTTGGGCCTAAACCATTCAAAGCTTTATAAACCAGCAGCAGTATTTTGAAATCTATTCTTTGACACACAGGAAGCCAGTGTAAAGACTTCAGAACAGGAGTGATGTGATCCACTTTCTTAATGTTAGTGAGGACTCGAGCAGCGGCGTTCTGAATCAGCTGCAGCTTCCTAATAGATTTTTTAGTGAGACCTGTGAAGACACCATTGCAGTAGTCGAGTCTACTGAAGATAAAAGCATGGACAAGTTTTTCCAAATCCTGCTGTGACATTAGTCTTTTAATCCTAGATATATTCTTTAGGTGAGAGTAGTACTGATACTGGGGGGTTAGTTAGTCTGTCGACGGTAGCAAACAAGGCACGTGCGTTGTTTTTGGTAATGATGTCAGAGAAGAACGATTGTCGTGCGTTTTTCAATTCCAAATTATAAAGGCCAAGTCTCTCTTTATAGATTTCAAAGTGAACCTGGAGATTTGTTTTTCGCCACCTGCGTTCAGCTTTTCGACATTCTCTTTTTTCTGTTTTCACGCTCATGGCCTTTCTCCATGGAGATATTTTCTTGCCAGACACTTCCTTTACCTTAGTTGGAGCAATGGCATCTATAAAATGTAAACATTTTGAATTAAAATGATCTACTAGCTCATTTACTGAGATGTTAGCAGGGGCAAGTGTGGAAGAAAAATTCTGAGTAAACATTTCCCTAGTATTTTCAGTTAAATATCGCTTTGTGGTTACCTCTTTTTGAACATTTTTGTGAACAGAAATATAGCTCTCAAAGAAAACACAGGAATGGTCAGAGAGTGCAACATCAGTCACCACAACCTTAGAGATATTCAGACCCTTTGAGATAATTAAGTCCAGAGTTTGCCCCTTATTGTGCGTGGGCTCCGTCACATGCTGAGTCAGTCCATAGCTATCAAGAACACAAAACAGTTCTTTAGCCCCTCTGTCCTGGGGGTTGTCAACATGGATGTTCAAATCACCAACAATGACTAGACGGTAAAAGTCAATACACACTATAGACAGCAGTTCAGTAAAGTCATCAAAAAAGCTTGCACAGTATTTGGGTGGTCTATAGATATTTAGGAACAGAGCTCGAGAGGAGCATTTCAGCTGAAGGGCCACATATTCAAAAGAATCAAAGTTCCCATAAGATGTCTTCCTGCATTGAAGGGAATCATTGAACAGAGTAGCAACTCCACCCCCTTTCTTATGCATTCTTTCCTGACTCATAAAACTAAAGTTGGGAGGGGTTGATTCGATAAGAACAGCTGCACTGTTATTTTGTTCAATCCAAGTTTCTGTTAAAAACATAAAATCGAGATTGTGCTCAGTGATAAAATCATTGATTAAAAATGTTTTTCCTGCCAAAGACCTGACATTTAATAAAGCTAGTTTACTGTAAGTTTGTTAAACACACTATCAGTCATGTTTTTTGCAACAAGCTGTGGCTGACATGGAATCACTGCTAAATTAGATAAACTCACACAAACGTTTGAGCGCTTCCTGTATCAAAGATGATTCACCGCTCTTAATCTATTACCTATCAACACAGATATCGGCAAAGCTATAGGCAGGCAGGGCCCCGGCATGTCCAGGAAAGAGTTGAGAGTGCCATACGCCCTTGAGCCTGGACCCAGCACATATCAGTAAGAGTTTGTTGCATTTTGTACACACACATCCTTATCAGGCTTCAGAGACTGCAGATGCTTTCTTGAAGGGAGGGGAGGTGGTTGACGTAGGCACGGTGATGGAGACGGGGGAGATGGTGCGGGGGTAGAGGACATGCTGCCAGGGGGGGGGAGGTGGTTGACGTAGGCACGGTGATGAAGACGGGGGAGATGGTGCGCGTCTCTGCGGTGATTTTGGTGGCCGTCGTTGAGGAGCGGGGGTAAAGGACATGCTGCCAGCCCTGCGTATCGCCTTAGTTTGGTTATTGAACTCCAGGAAGGAATCAGTGCCAACCCTCTGTATCTCCTTCATGTGTTCAACGAACTCCAGGAGGGTGGGCGAGGGTGAAAGGGTGAACGGAGTATCCTCAAAGGCGTTGACAGGGGGGGGGGGGGGGGGGGGGGGGGTGACGGGCAGTGGAGACTCCTCCATGTGTCTCGTAGGTCTCCCATAATCAGAACATTCCTCAGGCGGGTGCAGTGATAATTCTTCAGGGTTTTCTGCGCGATGTGTTGTGTATAAGCCATAGTTGCGCCACATTTTCGGCTCAGTTGAGGCCCCCTACGCAAGGTGCAGTCTGCATGATCGGCCTGTAGGGAGGGGCGGCCCTGCCTGTAGGCAAAGCAAATATACATAGTTCCTTATATCAAACGGTGGGGTGCTAAACCAAAGTGGGTCATGGCATGGGTCACTTTCATGACGATCCTTGACGAAATAGTGATGACAATTCCAGGTGTTTTAAAATATACGCTTTGTTAGTCTCCAAGTGTTAAAACATGCCATATGTTTGGCTCCTGTGTGGATATTCCTGCAGCTATAGGCTTGCTTCCAGTAAAGCTTCGATTTGAACACTCCCACATTGCCTGAAGGTGTGGAGGTGGACAGGGCTAGCATGTATCATAGAAGGTTTACAATTCACAGCCAAGTTTCACTGATAAACTTTCTCACAAAGCTCATGTTGTGTCCACATTTACAATACAGCCTCATCTGAACATCTGCTTTAGCACTCATTAGTTCCACTTAATGGACGACTAGCACATATTCTTGGAAAACACAGATGGCCATCGGCAAACGAAAATAATTACACAGTTAATTCTGAGAATCTTAACACTATAGCTGCATGTAAGACACCATTAAAACAAGTTTACGAGCATCTGTCCTAATTTGACCTTTGGAAAACAAATACAGCAACTGGAACATGTAAGAAACTGCAAGTTTCACTCACAATCTTGACATAAATGTATCTGTGGCATAGTGATCTGTCATTTCCAATGTTATCAACTTCCTCATGTGTAAGCCATTGCATCCATCTGTTGTCACATATTCTCATTGAGCACACAGATGATGTTAATTAAAGTCAGAGTGGGGGCAGTGCTTAAAGTTTAGGAAGTTGGCATGTACCGACTCCGTGAAAACAAAAAGCAGCTCAGACAAGAAATAAGACAAAAAATAATAGCAGTATTTACTAGCAGTAAATAATAATAATAATAATAATACATCAGCACTTTATTGCAATCACTCTCTGTGAATGTTTATACACTGCGGCATCCCTCATTCTCTGCCGCCTGTAATATGCCACTTAATTGAAGTCACTTAAATAAGGATATTGGCAATACATTCTTCAAATGACAGTCAACCCTTCCTGGTCTTTCAAGCCTGGCAATTCAAGGATTAATTGGATTGCACTCTGGACAAAAGGATCAGTTCACGATGGGAATATCTCTTCCCCCTTCCTTATTTGAATGAATCAACTGCAGCATTTTCTGTGGTCTTTGGTGTCCAAAACAAAGCATTTCACCAATGTCCCATAATGCAGGCCTACGTGGTGCACATTAAGTTGTATGTCTATCGAATACTGCTTAGTGTTTCAATGCTTCCTAAAGATCTAGATGTGTAGGATTTCAGCTATAATCAAAACCCATGTTTGAGAAACAAGCTTCTGACTAAAAATGGAGTCATTTGTTTTCCATTAACTCACCACTGTGAAGCTCTAATGTGATTTCATTCTGAGAGTCCCTGATGTATGCTTCCCTCAGTTCTGGTGTAATGTAATTTAACTTTGGACTAAACTAAATTGTGCGTGTTCTTGCAAGGCAAGGCAAGTTTATTTATATAGCACTTTTCTGTACGCGACAATTCAAAGTGCTTTACAAAACAAATTAAAAGACTTTTAGGAATAAATACAGTAAAAACACATTATATAATGGAGTTTTACAACAGGCATTACAAAGCAAAGATAATAAAATAAAAATAAACACCACAG